AGATGGAATCCCCAGTTATATTTTAAGTTGACCAATTTACAGCCCTCTACATGGGCATCTTTGTGCTAAACCAGACTCTGTTTACTAATGTTTGTGGATTGCAGTCAGGCTGCCACAGATGTTCCTGGGTGGTCTAATTTGTGGGAAACCAAAATACAACTAAACACATGAGTTAAAATGTATTTGAGGTTTTCTGAGTGGGAAATCTTGGGCTATTAAAATAGCCAGCTCTGTGCCTCTTTTTATAGGGTCTCTTAGTCTATGGGGTGATCCCGACATAGACCCTTTATCACTGTGCACAGATCGGTATCATTGACGTCTATAGACTGGTGAAATAATCACCTAGGATTACTGTATCTCTCTGTTTGTGTAAAGATTTTAATTCCAGTAAGTGGGCTAATAAAGCAAACTGTATTTTAATTGTAAGTTTGGTCTTAAAGAGGAACTGTCGCTTATAGCACAAATAGCTAACGAAAAGTTAATTATTGGTTTTGCTAAACTTTTCTTTTCATTCTTTATAATTTTTTTATTGGAATTTACATGGTTTGCAGGGCAGGATCAGCAAAATATGGAAATTAGTTAACCCTTGCAGTGCCTTGCAGCAGAAATGCATACTTTTTAAAGCGGGACTGTCATGGCCACATGTTTTAACCCCCTCCCAACTTCACTACATCTAATTTACCCCCTAGTCACTTTTTGTTCATATTTATTTTGAGCTCGGACCTAGGTCCTGAGAGCCGCCATCTTTGTGTGGGCAGATGAAGGCCCTGTGGGACACGTCTCCGCAGGATTCCATAACTAAACTCTGTAAAACCTCCACAGGACTCCATAACTAAACTCTGCAAAACCTCCACAGGACTCCCTAACTAAACTCTGCAAAACCTCCGCAGGACTCCATAACTAAACTCTGCAAAACCTCCACAGGATTCCATTACTGAACTCTGCAAAACCTCCACAGGACTCCCTAACTAAACTCTGCAAAACTTCCATAGGACTCCCTAACTAAACTCTGCAAAACCTCCGCAGGGCTCCCTAACTAAACTCTGCAAAACCTCCACAGGATTCCATAAGTAAACTATGCAAAACCTCTGCAGGACTCCATAACTAAACTCTGCAAAACCTCCACAGGACTCCCTAACTAAACTCTGCAAAACCTCCGCAGGACTCCATAACTAAACTCTGCAAAACCTCCACAGGACTCCCTAACTAAACTCTGCAAAACCTCCACAGGATTCCATAACTAAACTCTGTAAAACCTCCGCAGGATTCCATAACTGAACTCTGCAAAACCTCCGCAGGACTCCCTAACTAAACTCTGCAAAACTTCCATAGGACTCCATAACTGAACTCTGCAAAACCTCCTCAGGGCTCCCTAACTAAACTCTGCAAAACCTCCAAAGGACTCCCTAACTAAACTCTGCAAAACCTCCACAGGATTCCATAACTAAACTCTGCAAAACCTCCACAGGGCTCCCTAACTAAACTCTGCAAACTTCCACAGGACTCCCTAACTAAACTCTGCAAAACCTCTGCAGGACTCCCTAAATAAACTCTGCAAAACCTCCACAGGATTCCATAACTAAACTCTGCAAAACCTCCACAGGGCTCCCTAACTAAACTCTGCAAAACCTCTGCAGGACTCCCTAACTAAACTCTGCAAAACCTCCACAGGATTCCATAACTAAACTCTGCAAAACCTCTGCAGGATTCCATAACTAAACTCTGCAAAACCTCCACAGGATTCCATAACTAAACTCTGCAAAACCTCTGCAGGACTCCATAACTAAACTCTGCAAAACCTCCACAGGGCTCCCTAACTAAACTCTGCAAAACCTCCGCAGGACTCCATAACTGAACTCAGCAAAATCTCCACAGGACTCCCTAACTAAACTCAGCAAAACTTCCATAGGACTCCCTAACTAAACTCTGCAAAACCTCCGCAGGACTCCCTAACTAAACTCTGCAAAACTTCCACAGGATTCCATAACTAAACTCTGCAAAACCTCCACAGGATTCCCTAACTAAACTCTGCAAAACCTCCGCAGGATTCCCTAACTAAACTCTGCAAAACCTCTGCAGGACTCCATAACTAAACTCTGCAAAACCTCCACAGGGCTCCCTAACTAAACTCTGCAAAACCTCTGCAGGATTCCATAACTAAACTCTGCAAAACCTCCACAGGGCTCCCTAACTAAACTCTGCAAAACCTCTGCAGGATTCCATAACTAAACTCTGCAAAACCTCCACAGGATTCCATAACTAAACTCTGCAAAACCTCCACAGGACTCCATAACTAAACTCTGCAAAACCTCCACAGGACTCCCTAACTAAACTCTGCAAAACCTCTGCAGGACTCCCTAACTAAACTCTGCAAAACCTCCACAGGATTCCATAACTAAACTCTGCAAAACCTCCACAGGGCTCCCTAACTAAACTCTGCAAAACCTCTGCAGGACTCCATAACTAAACTCTGCAAAACCTCTGCAGGATTCCATAACTAAACTCTGCAAAACCTCCACAGGATTCCATAACTAAACTCTGCAAAACCTCTGCAGGACTCCATAACTAAACTCTGCAAAACCTCCACAGGGCTCCCTAACTAAACTCTGCAAAACCTCCGCAGGACTCCATAACTGAACTCAGCAAAATCTCCACAGGACTCCCTAACTAAACTCAGCAAAACTTCCATAGGACTCCCTAACTAAACTCTGCAAAACCTCCGCAGGACTCCCTAACTAAACTCTGCAAAACTTCCACAGGATTCCATAACTAAACTCTGCAAAACCTCCACAGGATTCCCTAACTAAACTCTGCAAAACCTCCGCAGGATTCCCTAACTAAACTCTGCAAAACCTCCGCAGGATTCCATAACTAAACACTGCAAAACCTCTGCAGGACTCCATAACTAAACTCTGCAAAACCTCCACAGGGCTCCCTAACTAAACTCTGCAAAACCTCTGCAGGATTCCATAACTAAACTCTGCAAAACCTCCACAGGATTCCATAACTAAACTCTGCAAAACCTCCACAGGGCTCCCTAACTAAACTCTGCAAAACCTCCGCAGGACTCCCTAACTAAACTCTGCAAAACCTCCGCAGGACTCCATAACTAAACTCTGCAAAACCTCCACAGGATTCCATAACTAAACTCTGCAAAACCTCTGCAGGATTCCATAACTAAACTCTGCAAAACCTCCTACAGGATTCCATAACTAAACTCTGCAAAACCTCCGCAGGACTCCATAACTGAACTCAGCAAAATCTCCACAGGACTCCATAACTAAACTCTGCAAAACTTCCACAGGACTCCCTAACTAAACTCTGCAAAACCTCCGCAGGACTCCCTAACTAAACTCTGCAAAACTTCCACAGGATTCCATAACTAAACTCTGCAAAACCTCCGCAGGACTCCCTAACTAAACTCTGCAAAACCTCTGCAGGACTCCATAACTAAACTCTGCAAAACCTCCACAGGATTCCCTAACTAAACTCTGCAAAACCTCCTACAGGATTCCATAACTAAACTCTGCAAAACCTCCACAGGGCTCCCTAACTAAACTCTGCAAAACCTCTGCAGGACTCCATAACTAAACTCTGCAAAACCTCCGCAGGATTCCCTAACTAAACTCTGCAAAACCTCCACAGGATTCCCTAACTAAACTCTGCAAAACCTCCACAGGGCTCCCTAACTAAACTCTGCAAAACCTCCACAGGGCTCCCTAACTAAACTCTGCAAAACCTCTGCAGGATTCCATAACTAAACTCTGCAAAACCTCCACAGGACTCCCTAACTAAACTCTGCAAAACCTCTGCAGGGACTCCCTAACTAAACTCTGCAAAACCTCCACAGGATTCCATAACTAAACTCTGCAAAACCTCTGCAGGACTCCATAACTAAACTCTGCAAAACCTCCACAGGATTCCATAACTAAACTCTGCAAAACCTCCGCAGGACTCCCTAACTAAACTCTGCAAAACCTCCACAGGATTCCATAACTAAACTCTGCAAAACCTCTGCAGGACTCCATAACTCCAAGGATTCCATAACTAAACTCAGCAAAACCTCCACAGGACTCCCTAACTAAACTCTGCAAAACCTCTGCAGGACTCCATAACTAAACTCTGCAAAACCTCCTACAGGATTCCATAACTAAACTCTGCAAAACCTCCGCAGGATTCCATAACTAAACTCTGCAAAACCTCCACAGGACTCCATAACTAAACTCTGCAAAACCTCCGCAGGATTCCATAACTAAACTCTGCAAAACCTCCGCAGGATTCCATAACTAAACTCTGCAAAACCTCCACAGGATTCCATAACTGAACTCTGCAAAACCTCCACAGGGCTCCCTAACTAAACTCTGCAAAACCTCCACAGGATTCCATAATTGAACTCTGCAGAATTTTCACCTGATCTTGGAAACATGTTTTGCAGAGCTCTGGATGGTAATGAATCTGCTTGAAGCCTATGAAGAATTGCAGTGTTGGAAGGAAATCTCCGTAACGAATGGCAGCATGGAACAATCAACCCTCAGATGTTTCTCAGATTCTTCTGAAATGAATCTTCTCCATCCTCTGACGGCTTAGTTTGTCCATTTCAAAGTGTCTGAGGAGGTAGACATAGCATGGGAAATGAAATAATTGAGGTCAACCTAGATTGTGCTTACCTCAGACCATGTACGACTTGACAAACTGAGGATTCACCAATGGGACATTGCAACGTCCTTTACTGACCAGCTGTCTAGAAAGAATGATCTACTTCTTGAGTTGTGGGCAGAGGTTGCAAACTGTTTTGGAAGACAACTCTAGTAATTGAAAAAGGAAAGATTGCAAGCTCCTGCGGCACAGGGCCCTTTCTTTACGTTACACACATTCCAAAAACTATTTCTATCAATAATGTGTCTGCCAGTGGGTCGACATGTCCTGCTGGCGTGGTCTGAACCTCCTGCGGTGACCTCACACTGCGCAGACACCAGGAAACGCACAGACCATTGTTTATTCAGCCTGACTCATCAAAAAGGCAATTTGCAAGTTGATAGAAAATGAGTACCTTCTACAAGCCGCTCCAGGCTCACTTTGTGTTTTACTCCTTTCAATAATTACTGTTATTATTTTGGAAGTTTTCTTGATATAAAATGAGGTAAATAACCCCTTACCAGTCTGTGATTGTTCCAGACATGTTGGAATTAAATTCAATCGAGTCCATCCGAATAATACTTATTTTCTGAAGAAATGCTGAGTTCTGTTTTTTTAGCCAATTTGCCCATTTTGCACAGAAAAATCAGGTATCTCCAATCAGAGCCTCGTAATAGAGGGGATCAATAGATTTATTCTTATTAAGAGAAATTCTAGCGTAAATAAATTAGAATTTATCTTTGCTGGCGGTAGTACAGTTTCATTTTATCCTGATCTCTTGTGTCCTGGTGGAAGTACAGTTTGATTTTATCTTTGCTGGCGGTGGTACTGTTTTATCTTTGCTGGCGGTAGTACTATTTTATCGTTGCTGGCGGTAGTACTGTTTTATCTTTGCTGGCTGTAGTACTGTTTCAATGCTTTCCTATGGACGCTGGCATCTTCTCACTGTGAAAATCACAGTGAGAAGCACGGAAGCACCTCTAGCGGCTGTCAATGAGACAGCCAGTAGAGGCTGGATTAACCCTATTATAAACATAGCAGTTTCCCTGAAACTGCTATGTTTATAGAAAAAAGGGTTAAACCTAGCTGGACCTGGCACCCAGACCATTAAGCTGAAGTGGTCTGGGTGCCTGTAGTGGTCCTTTAAAGGTAGGCAGACAATGTAATAGAGCAGCAGGAAATGTTAGCATAATGCTTGGTTGTATAGGGAGAGGTATTAGCAGTAGAAAGAGGGAAGTGCTCATGCCATTGTACAGAACACTGGTGAGACCTCACTTGGAGTATTGTACACAGTACTGGAGACCGTATCTTCAGAAGGATATTGATACCTTAGAGAGGGTTCAGAGAAGGGCTACTAAACTGGTTCATGGATTGAGGGATAAAACTTACCAGGAAAGGTTAAAGGATCTTAACATGTATAGCTTGGAGGAAAGACGAGACAGGGGGGATATGATAGAAACATTTAAATATATAAAGGGAATCAACACAGTAAAGGAGGAGACTATATTTAAAAGAAGAAAAACTACCACAACAAGAGGACATAGTCTTAAATTAGAGGGACAAAGGTTTAAAAATAATATCAGGAAGTATTACTTTACTGAGAGGGTAGTGGATGCATGGAATAGCCTTCCAGCTGAAGTGGTAGAGGTTAACACAGTAAAGGAGTTTAAGCATGCGTGGGATAGGCATAAGGCTATCCTAACTATAAGATAAGACTAGGGACTAATGAAAGTATTTAGAAAATTGGGCAGACTAGATGGGCCGAATGGTTCTTATCTGCCGTCACATTCTATGTTTCTATGTTGGCGGTAGTTGTTTAATCTTTGCTGGCGGTAGTACTGTTTGATTTTATCTTAGCTAGTGGTAGTGTAGTTTGATTTCATCTTTGCTGGCTGTAGTACAGTTTTATCTTTGCTGGCGGTAGTACTGTTTTATTTTTGCTGGCGGTAGTACATTATTTTCTCCTTATTGTATTCTTTGCCCTTTTTTGGCAGCTTCTGGAATTCGAAATGCGAATGAACAGTGACCGGCTTCAGCTGAAACAAGCTCAGGAGGAAAACCAGCGTCTGCAGCTGCGTGTGGACGAATTAAGCAGTGAGGTCTCGGTGTTACACAAGAAGGTACGTTTTGTGATTATACTTATTGCCTGTGATGGTTTATTAAATTCAAACATAACACCAGGTCTGCTAGTCATTACTACGTATTATCTCTGCTCTATACGGGTCCGGGTGAGTCAAACATTGGATCTGCCATTCTCACCCACACACCTGTGCAAAGGCAGGGAGACAGTCAGCTTCTATAAACAGGGCACCTTGTTCATGGTACATTGAATATGTATGTCCTCATTCATTTGTATGTTTTATGTTTCTTTTTAGTTATTGTACAGCACTACAGTGTATGTCAGCACTTTCCAAATAATAATATTAAAGGATCACTATAGGGTCAGCAACACAAACATGAATTCCTGACCCTGTAGTGCTAAACCCACCATTTAGGTGACTTGCCCCGCCTTAGCCCCCCTATAAAAGTATAAAACTCACCTTATTTCCAGCGTCCCTTGTGATATTATTGAAATGGCCGATTTTGAGGCATTCCAATGCTTTCCCATAGAGTCTGTGGGTAACAAGTTGGGCATTTTGTGTTACACTCCATGTGATACAAGACGGTTTCCACCCAGTAAATAATTACTGTATAATATATTACAGCCACAGAACAGCAGAGAGAACGTAACAGACATTCACATTCTGGTTTCATAATGTACTCGGATAGCTGTCAATTCATCACAATTCATTGTTTAGTTAATATGTCCCTCAAGTTCTAAATCAGCATTTGTCAAATTATATATTAAATTAGAATTAATTTATCCAGTTCAAGAAGGAACCTCATTAAAAATAAAAAAAATGAAATGATCTACAGAATGGATTTGTGAGGTAATTGCTGTATACTTGCGCACTGCATATAATCCTTGGTATATTCCATATATTTTAGACTCATTTACCATCTCGTGCTCTCTGTGTGTCGGTTCATTTTGTCTGATGCTCCCGGTTAATGTGCGTATTGAGACACTGCAGATTTCCTTCAGGCTCTTTATGGCGAGTGATTTGATCTGCCATATGTTCACTGCGGTGGAATAAGTCAGGAGAGAGACCATCAAAGATTATTCGTGGAGGAAAGTTTCCATCTTCTCTTAGAACGAGTTTCTTACATCTTACAAAGTAGCAGTCAGACGGTATTGTGTTTAGATGACGGCTGCGTTAAATATAAACTTTTAATATTTATTTATGGTAACATTATTGGGGAAAAAGCAAACATTGTCTCAGTGTGGACGATCAAACACATTTTCGTGTTTCACAATAAAATAGAATAGTAAATGGTGCCGTTTATTTTGTATGATTTACATTTTCCAGACGACTTGTTGTGTCATGTGAAACATAATGTTGTTGTTTTTTGCTCCCATAAAAACTTCCCTCTAATCTGTTCAGTCTTTCTGTATCACGCCTTGATATCTTTTCCATACAGAGGTATTCACTACGGTGAGAACTCAAGGTGAAAGCAAAGATAATTTTTTCTTAACCCCTTAAGGACCAAACTTCTGGAATAAAAGGGAATCATGACATGTCATGTGTCCTTAAGGGGTTAAAGGACCACTATAGGCACCCAGACCACTTCAGCTCAATGAAGTGGTCTGGGTGCCAGGTCTATTTAGGTTTAACCCTGCCTGCTGTAAACATAGCAGTTTCAGAGGGTAATCCAGCTTCTAGTGGCTGAAAATCACAGTGAGAAGACGCCAGCGTCCATAGGAAAGCATTGAGAATGCGCATTCAGCTGACGTCGAAAGGAGGAAGAGAGTCCCCAGTGCCGAGAGAGCCCGGTGCTGGAGAAAGGTATGTGATTTAATCCCTTCTTCCCCCTAGAGCCCGGCGGGAGGGGGGCTATAAGGGTGGGGGGGGACCTATTAACACTATAGTTCCAGGAAAACGAGTTTGTTTTCCTGGCACTATAGTGGTCCTTTAAGTTGAAATAGCCAAAATGGAAACATTCTCTAAATCAGCTGTGTTCTCCATGCAACTAGTCTGGCCTGAAATGAATTCACATTTAATTCACCTTAAATTCCCATTTAATAAATAACCCTGTCAGATCTCTCAGTAATAGCTGCCATCATCTCCAGGATCTCTTCCAAGTGCCTCCAATGAATATATTATCCCAAACATGTCCAACAACTGCCATATTGGCGAGTGCCCCTATATCCAAAACAAATAAATAAAGCCTTTCCAGAATTGCAGAAACAATATAACGTTGCAAATAAAGATATCTTCACATACATCAGGGCAAAGTATTTTCTGGAAATAAATTCATATTAGCATCGTTCTTTTTCAACAGATCTCTTTATTAAACTTTTAGCCTTAAAAACAGAAAAAGGGACAGTTTCCAAAGCAAAACAATTAGTCAGATCTTTCAATCGAACAAGAACTAATAACTGAAATTCTAAATGGTAGAAAGATTTAAACCGTATAATACCAGAAGCAGAATTCAACAGATCTTTCAAAAACAAAACCGCTCTATTTCATTGTTTAAATATTAACATACTAGAAGCTTATCAATAGATGGTATCTGACACCAATAGATCCCCGATGTTGGAGATGTGGTTTTCTTAACGCAAACTATCTTCATGTTAAGTAATCTCAAAAAGCAGATTGAAATTGAATTACCTTTTTCACCCCAGGTTTTTGAACTACACACTAAAGGGCCACAAATGAATAAATCGGACAGATTTACAATTACCCACATATTAATTGCTTCTAAATGAATCCATGCAAGAGACTGGAAATGTACAGAGATTCCGACTTGGGAAGAAGTCAAAGTTCAGTTTCTATATCAAAGTAAAAAACAATTCTATCAGCGGAAAAACAATAGGATTGTCCAATAACTATACAATATGGGATAAAGTAGTATCTTAGTCTTCGAATTCTACAAATTATCACTAGGGACAACTCTTGGCTTCCATGTAGTGTAGTTTGTATTGTATGTCTTTTTACATCGTCATCACGTTAAACGGTCGCTAATGTTTTTAGCCCCCAAATACATAAGCAAATTGTTATATGGATAACTATGAAATGGGGGTCTTTATTTTTTAATAGTACCCAACACAATACTTTTTGTTTTAGTCGTCTGTGTCTTTTTGCATGGTCTGAAAAGATTAAAAATCAATAAAAAATTATATATTTAAAAAAACACTGATCAATGCGGGGAATAACATTGATTATATTGTTACAATGGCCCCTGTCAAGGGATGGGATATATTAGGCAGAAATTGAACAGTAATTTCTGGCATTTCATGTGTGGAAGCAGGAAAAATGGGCAAGTGAGAAGATCTGAGTGACTTTGACAAGAAACAAATAGTGATGGCTAGACGTCTGGGTGAGAGCATCTCCCAAACAGCATGTCTGGGGTGTTCCCTGTATGCAGGGGTTAGTACCTACCAAAAGTGGTGCAAGGAAGGACAATGGGTAAACTGGCATCATGGTCCTGGGCGCCCAAGGCACATGGGGAGCGAATACTGGCCCATCTGGTCCAATCACACAGCTCAAATTGCTGAAACTATTTTATGCTGGCCATGATAGAAAGGTGTTGGCAATCTGCGTAGCCGCAGATCAGTCAGAGTGCCCATGATGACCTCTGTCCACAGCCAAAAGCGTCTTCAATGGGGTCTTGAGTGTCAGAATTGGACCGTGGAGCAAGACGGTTGCCTAGTCTGATGAATCACGTTTTCATTTAGATCAGGTGGATGGTCGGGTTCGTGTGCATTGTTTACCTGGGGAAAAGATGGCAGCAGGATGCACTATGGGAAGAAGGCAGGCTGGCGGAAGCAGTGTTATGCTCTGGGCAATGTTCTGCTGGGAATCCTTGGGTCCTGGCATTCATGTGGATGCTACTTTGACACAAATCACCTACCTAGAGATGCTTGTAGACCACACTCACTCCTGCATGGTAGTGGTGTTCCCTGATCGCAGTGGCCTCTTTCAGCAGGATAATGCACTCTGCCACACTGCAAAAAATGCTCAGGAATGGTTTGAGGAACATGACAGAGAGTTCAAGGTGTTACCTTGGCCTCCAAATTTCCAGAACTCAATTTGATTGAGCATCTATGGACCTCGTAACTTGCAGGAATTAAAGGATCTGCTGCTAATGTCTTGGTGCCAGATACCTTAGGACATGGTCAGAGGTCTTGTGGAGTCCATGCCTTGACGCATCAGAGATGTTTTCATAGCACAAGGGGGACGTACACAATATTAGGTAGGTGGTTTTAATGTTGTGGCTGATCAGTCCAAGAACTATCTCTAATGAATACATTCTCCCAAACATCTCTGACAACTGCTTCTCATTGCAGCCATTGTACCACCACCACCACCATCAGCAGCTCAGTTTCCACAAGTGGATCCCATTATCCTCAGGATTTTTTTATTGTTCTTACAGATACGTGTACTATTTTAATTTTTGTGGTTGGATTTGCCATTACATCATCTCTTCCTACTGCCACTAATTATTATTATTATTATTACTGGCATTTATAAAGCGCCAACAAATCCCGCAGCGCTGTACAATTGGGAAAAAGACAAACGCAATAAGAACAGACCGATACAACAGGTAGAGGGCCCTGCCCGTGAGCTTACAATCTAAAGTTTGAAATGGGGGTAAGAGACAAGAGGTAGCAGAGGGATTTGTATCTGATGGCAGAGAGCGTTAATGGTATAACTGCAGCAGCTGGTAACGTGAAGGTAATAGGGAGGTGATTGATGGGGTTCCAAACAGCTGGAGGTGCATGCGATATAGTTAGAAGGAACCAGGGTGGGCAGGAGGGTAGAGTCAAGTAAAATTAAATGGACTTCATGTTGCAGGGATGGATGGTTTGGGTCTATGGAAGAGAGATAAGACAGTTACTTTACTTTTAAGGAATTTACAGCTGGAAGCGGGAAGCTGGGGGAGGAGGTATGGAGCAGGCCAGCCATTTGTTATAAACAATTAAATATTTGCTAACCAAAATTCTATCAGCCAGATTATTAATAACTACATGTAACAGTAAGTATAAAAAATTACAGTAATAAACTATATGTAACAATGGTAGCATCATTAAAGCAAAATAATAATCTAGTAACAACATTAAAGAAGTCCAGTCGAATATCTTCTGCATCTGTTTGTACCTTTTAAAGCTGCAGTGTTCAAAATTAATTGGCCTTCATGTTGCAGGAATGGATAGTTTGGGTCATTCTTTAAACTAATCTCTGCCACCATCCCCTCCATCGCCTCTAACAGCTGCTCCGGTGCACCCTCCCTGGCAGCGGTGATCCTGTCTGATTAATTAGAACTTTGCACTGTGCTATATTTTGAAATGAAATACAATAATTAATTTCCAAGGTTTTTATTTATCCAAGAAATATGTATTTGGATTGACTGTGCCTTAAATGATTATGGACATTCAGTGAAATGTTACATAATATCCCAATTACCCAGAACAATCCTCACTGTGCCAAGTGAATCCTCCTGACTGAGGCTGGGGAGGGGGGACCATCTCAGCCGCCGGATTCCGGACACGGGAGTCTTTGATCTGAAGGTAAATGGTAATTGCCCAAGAGACCATATTGTTATTGAAGCAAAACAAATGTCTGGAATGGGAACTGTATACGTTTTATTAGCATTTTCTGGTTGGTAGAAGAAGAAACCAATAAGAAATGGGAAGTGAGCGAGAGGGCAAAAAATGAAAGGAAAGACTCATTTTATCAAGTGAACAGAAAGAGAGATAACAGGTAAACAAAGTAACTGGTGGTATCTGGGCATGACTTTGTACTGCGCTGTGGAATAGGTTGGTGATTTCTACATAATAATAGAATAAAACCATTTCAGGTTCCATAGTTGCAATTATTCTGAGCAGTGCGGGGAGGGCCACAGTTTAGGGCCACTTTTTGTGGAATCCCACCCTTTCCGCTATTTGTGCATTACACCCCACCGCTGTATACAATATACAGAAATGGATTCTGAATCTAAACACAAATAGTCCATATAGTTAATTGTTTAGCCCATATTCAAACCAGTGTGCCCGTCATCTGATACCTGGTCCCCCAAATCTCAGTATATTTATTATTATTTAGATTTAGATGGTGCAAACAAATGCCATAGCACTGTACAAATAGGATATAAAAACAATCAAATGACAAACGTAGATACAAGCAAATAGCGGAGGTGACCCTGCTCTAACAAGCTGACAATCTAGTCTGATTTTACCAGATTCCGTAGATTAGCGCGCTGACTGCTGTGTTACCCCTAACCTGTGAAACGCGTCGGGGAGAGGATTCGCGTAACAGAGCAGCCGTTTAGGGTGAATAATAGTGAGTGTTTTACTGGACAGCAGTAACTACAGGCAGAGCAAATTCCACTTACAATAAAATGTTCAAATTAAAAAACAAATCCAAATTCTCAGTGTTTAGCATCAAATACTCCTAATTATATTGTAAGGGAGGGGGGACTTTCTATTTTTTCCAGAGGATGTTAAAGTGCCCCGGATTCTGAAATAGCAGAGGGCAGCATTCTAAGAGGGCTTTTCTCATGAAACAAATAGCGTTTTTCATTCAACAAGAGTCAAATCAGGAACGTGTTTTTATAAACATATTGCAGCGGGGGCTAACAAGTGTTTTCAGGCAGACAGATTGGAGGGGGTGAAAGTAGGTTCCTAAAGTAGAGCAGAGTGCGTGGTGCTGTTTTGAGGCCACTGGAGTTTTTGAGGGCATTGCACTGAGTTTAATCTGACGGGAGTATTTACCGTGAAAGAGAATGTGACTTTTTGTTATATCAATTTATTACCTTTTCACTGATCCTACAGTACCTGGCGTGGCGATGTGTGGTATTAAATATATAGTGCAGACATGCCGACCAATAAATTGAATAATTCTTTTTTAATGACCTTTGTGGATTGCATTGCAGGAGATTCAATGATTTCCAGGACCCTCTAGCACTGAATGGTGACAATTTGGTCTTTAGATAACGTCTCAAATCTGGCCACCTCTGTTCTCATATCAAAAAATGTTAATAAATTGTGGATACAAGTTAGATCCTTTGTCAAACTACAATTCCCACTGTGCTTTGACAGCCTTTGACCTTTTCATTGTGTTAGAAATATAGAGTACCCTGAATTACGCATTGGACCTCTGTCTCTATTCTAATAACGGTGACCGCAAAATATCGCCTCCAATATACCGATATTTACTAATTGTTATTAATAAATGTTGGGCAATAGCTTCACCAAGAGATTTATTCACCAAACACTCGGAGAAAGATTTGTTCCCTAAATAGTTGGAAGATAAAATCAGATCTATCTAACTGACCCGGAGAATTTTCTCATCTTGCATCGGTATGAATTGTGGCACAGCTCGTTTATTTGTGAATAATCCATAAATCGCTGTGGCTTAATAATCTTTGGCTTTCGGTGGGTTCTTCTCTCTGTCTCGGTGTCGTTTCTCTTTATCCCAGGTGTGAAATGCCTTTGGCGCCCAGAAAGAAAGTTTCCAGGAGAAAGTGGAGCAAACTGCTAAAACTAGAGCAGTCACCTTGGAAACCAGTGGAATTTTTCTTGTATTTGCTCCGTATGTAGCATTGTTGCCCTAGAATTGCTCCTGGGTTTGCTTTACATTCGGCAGATTACAGAACTTTATCTATAAACTAGGACAGCTCTTATTTTTAGACCTGGCGGAGGAGGAAATAGCTGCGACTCGATAATGAAACGTTATGTGTATAAATTAATTTGGGTCATTTAAATATTTAATGGAAGATTTGATGAGCTGTGTCACCTTCAGCGGCGAGGCAACCCTTTATTAGCTGAAATAAAGACTCTGCCCTGTGAGTGAGCTCAGTGCTGTGCTGATGGTGTTCGTGTAGCCCTTTCAATGCCAGGGAGTGAGTGCCAATGTATGCCCCTCAGCCAGCTTTATTGATACTCAGCCCCCCAGTCTCACGGCTGGCATGTGGAACTGTTACCATCTAGAGGAAGTGATTATGGTGCCAGGTTGGAACAGTTAAAGCCCAAAGCTGGCTATAGCACCGATTTCAACACCCCCAGGTGGCATCCGGCTTCTGAAATCTGACATAAAATTGACTTGAAAGGCTCTCAGCCAAGCAACGGTGCCCTTCTCCTGCGGCATTTCGCGCTTTCTGAAACCGGAATGTCAGAAGCGGGATGCTGCCGCTGGCGAGCTGAGATTCGAGCTGGAGGCCCCCTTTTGGGTTAAACCATTTGATAACAGTTTAACACCTAGAGGTCAGAATGCGACAGACGCCTCTTGGCACCATAACAACTTCAGTTAGATGAAGTTGTTATGGTACCCGGAGTGTCCCCTTAATGGATATTAAATGATATGTGGGTCAGATTCTATTGTTATCTTACCAACTGATGCTCAACCTAACTTGCTGCCGCTGTGATTGCACTGTGTGAATCTGCAGCGGCAGCAAGTTAGTCTGAGCTGGTCAGATAACAGTAGAGTCTGACGCAACATGGCGGCTCAGACAGATAAAAAGTAACTTTTTCTATAACAAAATATCTATATATACACTTTAAAACAATATCATTAATAATTATAATCATATAAATCTCATTAAATGCAAAACATTTAAAAAAAACTGCTAATAGCTGTCCGTTAACTCTGTAATTAATCTTTTTATATTTCAAAATGTCATGTTTTAATGGAAGGAGCAAACAACCCCTGATGATTCTCATAGATAAAAGCTTGTTAATTGTCTATAATTGCTTCTCACCCTGCCATAGCATGGTGTCCTTGCATGTATTGGCGTGACCTGTTGGTGTGTGGTTTAATGTATTTATTATTTATAACGCTGGTAAAATCAGTCTCCTCTTGTGGTCATTTTGCTGGTTATCAGCAGAGGAGGAAGTATTCTGTTATTTTAACCCTTTCAGTGACAAATTGTTCTCCAATAATTTCTAACCTATCACAATCCATCTGCTGTGGATCACAGTTCAAATAATGTTCCTTGTTGCCATCTGCACATTGTGTCCAACATGTTAGGGCATTATTATAACCCGAGTTCTAGAAATAGTTTGACGTTTGATGGGTTTGTGTTGTCACACCCGCAGTGAGAGCATCATGTTTGTTAATAATTAGTTGTTAATAATGCAATGTTTGATGGAGTAACGGGATGGGCGGAAGGACTAATATCGAAGTTTCCTGGGACAATCTGTGAATTCATTTCTCCGTATTAAATGTCCCACAAACGCTAACGTTATCAGAGTTAATTTCCTGCTGCATATATTATATGTATATAAATCATTAAATAAGCTAATATTAGGATAATGTAAAAAAAGATACACTTTATCCACGCAGCACGATTCATCACTAGTAAAACGTCAAACTGTAACAGAAATTGCAGAATAAAATGTTTAAGTAAATTAACTCGTTAATGGATCAGGTGCCGTATTACCCTAAGCAGACCGTCTTCATCTTCACACACAATATATTCATTATACACAATAAGGTATAAAACACGCAACAAAGACAACATCCAAACAGGACTCCTCTCCCATGGCTGGGTTTTCTAGCTGGGTGGCCATGTCTGGCCCATTTGGCCACTTTAATTCTATTTGAGCAATAGATTTGTCACTCTGACCTTTCCACTGATATTGATTGGTAGTTAAGATCAGTTAAATAAATGAAAGGACCCTTCAGCCGGTGTTTATTTGTCTTTTAGTGACTGAGTAGATTTTAACATGTTTTATCAATCAGCAGATTAGGTGTCACAGGATCTGCGGCTATTAGCGCAAACAATGAACCTATTTATCGTATTGGTAAATAGATATATAAACTATTCCCACAGATATGTAAAATCAGCCTTATTTTACGATACACGGAGGTGTGTAGTGCAGTTATGAAGAGAGCAGATGTCTTTTTGCTAAAAATCCCAATAATTACATCTATCCACTCCCCCAGAACCTCGGTGACTGTGATAACTCGCTTAGTAAAGAGATTCCTCAGGTTTCTTCAGAGGAACGATCTCCAGAAAGATCCACACCTTCCCTTTGTATTTTACGAAGTTTAATCTATTTATCTTTCCTTTACTTACACCGAATCTCACCATCAGTGTCTGTGTTAAGCAATCCTATGAATTATATTGAAACACATCATATGATCCTGCTGCTAGGCCTGTTACTAACATTGTTCTCTGACGCTCAGGGTTAAAGGCGGCGTTTATTTATTGTTTAATATCTGTACGAGGTGTGTTCCTTTTATGAGAAATGACTGGTGTACCCTAACTGCACATGTCACAGTTTAGCCCTTTGGTTATATGAGGTTTGGACGCCCCTTAGGGTAACGATACGGCCTGATGATTCTGGGAGCTGGCTTAATACATTCTGTGTTGTCTATGACTCCTTAATACTGTGCATAGGCCCTGATTTAGGGTAAAGGGAACTCGCCAATCTCTCGGCAGTGCAATGAAACGTTCTCCTTGTCCTTAGGCTGCCTGAGGGGGGTACACAGGGCCCAGCACAAATATATCTACTTTAAAAACAAGATGGCGTATTGTCGAAGAACGGAACATCCGTTGAGTTATTCCACCTTAAATTAATTATGTCTACAAGCATTGCAAATTAAATTTAGGGAACAGAGCCAGGAAAGGGTTAAACTGTAGCCCTTTACTTATAAAGTATAGAAATGGCAGCTGGAACACAATCAGTCCTAAAATGGTCCCAGACCAACAATGATTTGTATCTGCTGTGCTGATTAACGCTTTGATTGCGGAGTCCTGTGAAACATCCTGAGTAATGAGAGTCTATAGCTGTCATTACACAGAAATCACTGCTCATTGTCAAAGAGCAATCAAGTCCCCCTTGCTATTTAATGAGGTCATGGGGGCTTTCCCTCCCTGAATGTAGGCTGACCAGGATGTAACTCGGGCCTACACTGACAATGGAACCTCAGCTGCTTTACAAAATCATTTTAACATTCATCTTTATCACAATAATAGACATCGGTTTGCTTCGAATGAGCATATTAAATCTGTTATTATTAAATTCCATTTTCCATACTGTGCTCTGGGTGAAATCTCTTTTCTTCAAGTCTATGTAGATAATAATCTGTAATTTATACAGTCCTTTTAATGAACAGGTCACAGGCGGTTAGGCCTACAGTGGACATTGGTTGTCTGTTGCTTGATCATATACCGATAGAATAATTTAAGTCCACCAGCAAGAACGCATTTATGACACTTTTTTATGCCAGACATAGATTCAGCCAGCTTTAAATAATATCACATATATTTCTGGAATGCATGTGCTTGGCTTTAGTTGTGTCAGTAGAGTGGGCTGGTAACTGAGTGATGGCTTGACCGGCCCCGTCACAGTCTGTCTGAAACAAGAAACTTGCACGTGTTAGTCTTCTAAACTAGGTCATCCAATGGGAGACAAGCGAGCCAGCCTGCCCCGCAGAGTGTATTCTTTAGTGTATATAACATATACAATATTACTCAGCATTCACGGGCCATTCTGACTGGGTGCTGAGTTTGCACTTTTGTAACTCTTTGTAGTAATATTAGGCCTTGATTTAAACATTTTTTGATAAGCTTCTAAAATGATTTACTATTTTGAAAAAATATTTGTATATTTTGATATCTTAATGACATATAGATATATATATGAATGATATATTTTTGATTGCTTAATATTTTTGAAAAATACATTTAGAAATGTATCCAAAAATATTAAATAATTTTTAAAGTTTATCCAAAAATATTAAATGGACACTCTGCTGCCCAAATACAAAATACATAATAAATAAATAAATCTCCATTTAGTAGTTATATCCCCAAAGAAGACGTGTGTGCATTTAATTCCATATTTTTAAATTGGGGGTTATGTCTAAAAACAGCTTGTAAAAGCTGCAGTTCTCTTGTCTGCAGCCTTTACAAGCCCTCCCCTTCTAACCCTTCCTACACTTTCTGTGGCTGTCCAATCACAGACTTCCCAGTGCAGCTCAATGAGAAGTCTTTGCAAGGCAGGTGCTCTGGGCAATTGTTACCTCTTGACTTTAGCTCTACTGAGCTAAACAAACCAGGAAGTAACAGGAATGGTTATCTGATTGACAGGCAGGGGAGTGTAACAAGGTTCATTTATAACTGATTTCTATTGAAATCTGCACTTTTTGTAAAATTTAAAAAAACGAGGACACACTCTTCACACATACAGCTCTCCAGCAAGCTATACTGCTTCACGTGTTTGGTGTGTCCCTTTAAATGAAATCCCTAAACCCCAAACTGATATTGTCTCTAATGTGTGAGACAGTACATTACATTCACAGGCTCACAGTCTGCATTAACCCCTGAGTTATCAGAGGCTGATTTAAAGGTAAATATAACATTTTAGAGACGTTTATGAGTTCACGTGACATTTATTGGATCTCATGGAGTTATTTGGATCATATTAGTACTGACACGTGATGGTCACTTCATGTGATTTCATTAGATGCCTATGATGTGTCATTCTGATTACAATCCGGATGGATATTTCACCTCTAAACAGAACGGCAGGGGAGGTTTGGATCTGGCTGGAGATAAGGTCCACATGGTCATCCTACTTTATTTAATTTGTAGCACAGTGGGCAAGGAACGTCCAACCCCCCCTCTGCTGGCCCCGTTCACGGTCTTTGGAACACGGGAGTAAAGATTTGTAAGAAATGTTTCCCAGGACGTTACCAAGGGCATAAAATGTCCCCATTACAGGGAGCGGGGGGTTTCTCTGGCATATTCTATCACAGGCATATTTTCCAGATGCGTCATCTTATGGAAAATCTAACTGTTTGACAAGTAACGAAGTGGGGAAGACGAGCGCGGAGGAGAATTGTCTGTTTGCTGTATCTGCGAGATGAACAGGGTTTACATACATGTAGCGGGCCTGACATTAAACAGGTGGCTGCGTGCAGTGTGACACAAGGTGGGAGGGAGAACTGGACCATCGACCAGGAAACTATAAGAGAGAGGGAATTGGAAAGAATAATGGCCAATAATGAATTATAATTGGAAAAAACAACGTATAGTAAAAATGGGTTGGAGTAAACATTTAAATAAGCCCTGATTAACCAGAGCAGAAATCCCATCTGTAGGGAGCCTTAAAGGGACACATCAGGGAATCGGTGACCAACGTTTTTAAAGTTCATAATATAGATAAAGTAATTAAAAGAGACAGTGACAGTTGAAGTTCCTGCATTGGCTGCCAAACTCCAGGCTTTGAAGCTTCTGCAGTGAGCTCTGACCAGACCAGGAAGTGGCTCAGCCAATCCGGCTTCTCTCGTAGCTTTACTTGCTGAATATATTTCTAAACCTGTAAACCGGCACGGCTGTCTGGGTGCAGCAGGGTATCAGGATTGTACCTGCCTCTCAACAGTGGGAGGTGAACTAAAACTCCCATCAGACGTGTGTATTCCCAGCATGCATTGATCTCTCCTCGATCGGCTGCTTGTATTGGAGTCATTGCTCCATTTTGTATTCTCATCAGTAATCAAGCAGGGCTCTTTGGTTACCTTGTATAAAATCATTGCGGTTATGGGTAGATCTATAGACAATTGAAATTTGAATTGCAAAACATGGGAAAAAAGAAGTAATTTTTGGAAAAATCTTCTAACCTTGCTATATTTGCAGCTTGGCTATTTCTTTTCAAACTATTTAATTCCGTTCTTCCCTATATCAAAGAACATTCTGTCCTACCTATTCACAATCCCTTACTATGCTTTTCTGCTCTGTGTCGCCCTCTACTGTTAGAGTGCTATAGCCGCAGTGTCCCTGGATTTCTCTAGGTACTGACCAGCACAGGGGTTTCTTAGTTTATTTAGAACAGGCGCCCAAAAGGTAGATCCCCAGATGTTGTAGAACTACAACTCCCATGATGCTTTGTATGCATTTGGAATGCATTTAGAATGCATCATGGTAGCTGTCATTTTAAAAAATCTGGGGATCTACCTTTTGGGCACCCCTAGTTTAGAATAAGCACTGGGGAATTTGATGTGCTCGATGATATCACCTCCACCTCAAGTAAAGTGCCTCCTATAGGAAAAACAGCCACATTACAGCAGGTGTAACTGATTTCTGGAGATACGACCCTTAGAATGGAGATACGACCCTTAGAATGGAGATACGACATTGGAGATACGACCATTAGAATGGAGATACGACCATTAGATTGGAGATACGATCATTAGAATGGAGATACGACACTTACATTGGCGATACGACCCAGTAGAATGGAGATACGACCCTTAGAATGGAGATACGACACTTACATTGGAGATACGACCCAGTAGAATGGAGGTACGACCCTTAGAATGGAGATACGCCACTTAGAATGGAGATACGACCCTTAGAATGGAGGTACGACCCTTAGAATGGAGATACGCCACTTAGAATGGAGATACGACCCTTAGAATGGAGCTCCAGAACTCAGAGTAAGGCCCTGTGTCTGTGCACCCTAATGATGGCAATTTTGTGGGGCAATCAGCGGCTGGTTTCTGAACTCTCAATCACTATAGCGACAAATCACGAAACAAAAGAAACAGACAAGGTACAAAACAGTTTAATTTGATTTGTTTTTCGAAGTTGTGTCCGTGATGCCAAAAAATATATATATGATTAGTAGAAATAAGGAAATTGATAGTTAGGAGACAGCTTCTAACAGGCTTATTTACTAACGTGAGAATTTTACATTTAAGGCCAGAGCAGCCGAACTGGAAGCAGAACTGAATAGGAGAATTGTTCAGATTCGGCTATTCTGACCTTACATTTGAAATTCACTTTGAATCCTCTCTTTAGTGAGCAGCTGTTAATGTTGATTTTATTCACCGATGAGTGAGAAGTTTCCAACAGAGGGAAAGGGCAGCAATAAATAAATCGAGAATTATATATTATATTTATTTGATGACAATATATTGATTTTTACTGCGCCCCCTATTTTTCTTCTTCTTACCTAATCTGTGGTAAGCCAAATGTTATGAACATGGACCTATCCGTGTAATATATAGATACATATATAATATTGATATATTGCAACACACTGATTGTACTCTGATTGGTTAATTACCGCGCTCGTTTGGTTTAGCCGAATCATTTTCCCAAAACAATTCTTTCTGGATAAATCTATTCAGAATAACCAAATTTCTTCACCGCGCACAAGTCTATTGGTAACTTTATTACAAGTAATCCCTTGTATTTCAATCACGTTGTTTCCAGTAAGGTTGGCAAGTCTCGGCTTTACTGATTGGCGCCCGTAGCGTCATTTATGGCGGCACATAGAGGGTAACAGGAGAAACAGATTGAACCCCGAATGTTCTCCTCATTCTCCCAATATCCGCATTCAGCGAGTTTGAGATGATTTATTTTATCCGCTGAAGATGAATGTAGGCAGAAGAAGAATTGGGGCATGGACTTTGTGTAACCCTCCAATAAATGTCTGCTCTTTAGGTTTCAGAATTCAGGAAAAGTTTAACATCAGTCAATGTGTTCTGTGAACCGTACAATCTGTGAGCATCCCCCACCCGTGTAAGGTGTACGAATAGAAATTAATTATAATTATAGCGTTGAACTTCCCGCGGCTGGGTAATAAAGGGATCTCTGATGTCTGAGACGGGAGACGAACAAGGTTAATCTGATGGCGTGGAGGGGGGGGGGCTTTTCCTGAGGGAGGGGGTACCATCATTTCCTTTCTCCATATTCATCAGTCACAGGTAAAGTGATCTCTGTAACAATTCTCCAATTTCTGTTGAATAAGACCACATATCACAACTAGTTTATTACTAACACAAACATTGGTTTACTTATAGCATTTATTAACGCTAACATTATTTATTTAGCACCAACATTAACTGCAGCGCTGTACAACAGGTAAAGCAAGAAAAATCATTCATACAATACAGATTCTATATATAGTAAGATTATCTGAAGAGGGCCCTTGCCAAACAAGCTTACAATCTAAATGGACGAGATACAAATTCACAGAGAGAAGCGAGGGAATCAAATGATCTGGGTTTACCTGAAAGGAAGGGGGTGTATAACTAAACATGTGTTATTACTGGTTCTGCCGTCAATCTGAAGGGGAGACCTGGCTTTGATCTCAGTACATTGCGAGGAGTTCTCCAACGTGCGTCACCATAACACACACAGAGCCACCTGACACAATAAACAGCCTTGCTCTTTATCATTTGGGGAGTACGGAGATATTGTGAGCAGACAGCCCATAATGTTCCCAAAGTAGCTGAGGTAGATAAAGAAACTGTCAGTGTATCAGAGTTGAGGATTGTATCTGAATTCACTATTTTATCCTAAATAAATATAACATTATTGTCACATATTGCCACTGGCTGATTAGTGGATAACCCTCATGCTGTAGTGTCGGAACAAATTCTTTAACCTCTGTCCTACCTAGGCCTCATCGCCACATATTAGGGCCAACGTGTCCGTCCTGCCCTCTCAAGGCTCTCTATAAGCTATTTAAATGAGTCTCTGGGTAAATATTTGGAGATTCGTAGTTTGTCAATAATGAAATAACAGATTAATGGGCTCAGCCGGTGATCCCACAGGGAGCTTGATAACCATCAGGTACTTTTCATCTGATCCAATTACACAGAGAAATATCTGAATATTCAGAGCCCACTCCAGTCCCCTATTCATGTCATTATAGCCCCCCTCCTATTATTCATTGATAGGGATGGAGGGGAGGTAGGGTCTGACCAGGCATACAGAGAGCTCATTAACCACCCAGAAGGGATGTCTTGCACTGATTTTTGGCTTTAACCACCTTGTCCACAGCTTGCACCCCTGTTAACGCACTTCAACCCCCACCGCGCAGTCTGCAGTCACTTGGAAACACCATTTGTCATCACATAATGTTCATTGATTGGTTTAGGGCAGACAAAATAGCCAGGGTTCATTCTAATCACAGACCCAACCATTATCGCAGAATCCAATCAAGGCCAGAACGCGTCAGGTGGCGTTGTGCAGGCCGTGCGTTTTACAATAAGCACCGTGCGTCTGGCAGATATGCAGGGTTAATCGCTGCAGTGAGAATTGTTCGTAATTCAAACTGAATTTCAAATTTAAAGTCAAAACAGCTAAACTAGAAGCCTCGCTCACTTGGAGAATTTGTTCCCCTCTATTTGTCTTTAAATTTGAAATTCACTTTGAAATCCAGACAATTCACATTTTAGCGAATAACCTGTTTGTTTATTAACATAAGGCCGGTGCTTTATATGAAATGTAGGATAAATAAAATCATACCCTGTGGGGTCGCCCATTTATACCCCATTGCGCACACAGTGTTTCTCAGAGGAAGTTAATCGGAGGCCGGGGTGCGCTCATCTCTCACACAGGCCTGATTGGTTAATGAGTTAGATGGCAAAATGCAATTTAATACATTATATCAATAATAAGATCTAATATATGCAGAAACGGTAAATAAAATGGCTCAATTATGACAGTAACAGTGCATTTGCTTTATTCCCAGCTCCTCTCAGAAGAAGCGGAAAACAGGAGCTCCATTGAGAAGCTGGACGGGGAGCGCGTTCACGGACTTCGGCACATTAGGGCCCTGGAGGTCAGGCTGGAGGTCAGTGTCTGTCATTTTCTGATAATTATCCAACAAAGGGCCCATTATGGTCTTCACATGGAGACTGTCATTTAATTTCCTCTGACATAAAATAATATGGAGAATTGTGTTTGGTAAGAGGCGGCGCTGAGACTAACAATCCCAGCATTGAAATTCCGGGTTTCCTGTTCTTTACAGAATAAAGGACACGTCCCAGGATCCAGTGAGCAAATCTCCAAACTCACAGGATTTCGTAGCCGAAAACCAAACACAAAGTGTAGAACAAGGCACTTGTAAATAATACTCCCGCCAGCTGCCAGAGGTTCTAATTCAGGCGTTTATTCACTAAACTGAGGAGGTTTAAAAACTTGGAAACTTGTGGAAATCTTAACCCAGATTAGCCAAGCTTCTAATGACTTAGAATAGCCAGAGTTACATGTCCCAGGCTAACTGTGAGTGTAAGAACGTGGATATATTACCCGTATTATGTCTGGCAGGAATACCACCCGAGTATACAGCGCTTTATAATTAAAATAAATTATATGACTTAATGAATAATAATTAAAGGACCACTCTAGGCACCCAGACCATTTCAGCTTAATGAAGTGGTCTGGGTGCCAGGTCCTTCTAGGGTTAACCCATTTTTTCATAAACATAGCAGTTTCAGAGAAACTGCTATGTTTATCAATGAGTTAAGCCTTCCCCCTAATCCTCTAGTGGCTGTCTCATTGACAGCCACTAGAGGCGCTTGCGTGCTTCTCACTGTGATTTTCACAGTGAGAGCACGCAAGCGTCCATAGGAAAGCATTATGAATGCTTTCCTATGCGACCGGCTGAATGCGTGCGCAGCTCTTGCCGCGCGTGCGCATTCAGCCGACGGGGAGGAGAGAAGGAGGATCGAAGGAGGAGAGCTCCCCGCCCAGCGCTGGAAAAAAAGGTAAGCTTTAACCCTTTCCTCGCCATCCAGCCTGGCGGGAGGGGGACCCTGAGGGTGGGGGCACACCCTCAGGGCACTATAGTGCCAGGAAAACGAGTATGTTTTCCTGGCACTATAGTGGTCCTTTAAAGACAGTCTGCCTCTGATGCAGCTTGTGCTGTAACTCCTATCACCCTCAGGTAGGCTGCTTACTGACTGGCAGTCACATTGGCACAAACCTGCCCAAGTGGCAGCTTCTCCCAGACGCCCTCTGTGGCCAGGTGTGGTATTACAGGAAATAAAAATTGTATCTATGGGAGAGTATTAATTTACATTCATTTAGGACAGAATTGTCAAGTTGAGAAAATTCTGTAACGCAGTAATTTTTCTAAACTTTTTTAGCTGATGCAACATTGATTACTGTGCGTTAACTAAAAGCAATGTGTTATTACAATGTCCCAAATTCTTTAATTCCGAGGTCCCAATCGAGTCCTGAACTCTTCTTAGACAATGGCAGATCAAGGCATTAATCTACTTTATAACTCTGCATATACACAGCTTGTCATACATGGGACAGCATGTATTGTGTATATATATATATGTAAGATGTTTATATATATTATGTATATATTATATATTATGTTTATGTATGTATTGTGTTTATATATATTATGTATATATTATATATTATGTTTATGTATGTATTGTGTTTATATATATTATGTATATATTATATATTATGTTTATGTATGTATTGTGTTTATATATATATATTATGTATATATTATATATTATGTTTATGTATGTATTGTGTTTATATATATTATGTATATATTATATATTATGTTTATGTATGTATTGTGTTTATATATATTATGTATATATTATATATTATGTTTATGTATGTATTGTGTTTATATATATATATTATGTATATATTATATATTATGTTTATGTATGTATTGTGTTTATATATATTATGTATATATTATATATTATGTTTATGTATGTATTGTGTTTATATATATTATGTAGATATTATATATTATGTTTATGTATGTATTGTGTTTATATATATTATGTATATATTATATATTATGTTTATGTATGTATTGTGTTTATATATATATATATTATGTATATATTATATATTATGTTTATGTATATATTGTGTATATATTAGGTTTAAACAAATATAGGTAGTGCTGGCACTCTATCACGTAATGGTGCAGGTATTAGAGGTTCATCCCCAATATAACCTCATAATATAATACAAAAAATATAAATATTAGTACCGCACTCGCATGCATTAACTATGAATTTATGGAGAGATCATTAATTTGCTACAATAGATCTTTTTCTATTTGCATGAATTACACACAACTAGTGTACAATAAATGAATTTTTTTCTTGCATACTTACATATTGATTTTTCTCATTTTTTCTTTATACATGCATAGTTAATGCATGCGAGTGCAGTATTAATATTTATATTTTTTGTATATATTATGTTTATATTCTGTTTATATATATATTATGTATGTGTTATGTTTATATATATAGTATGTATTGTGTGTGTATATATAGTATGTACATATTATGTTTATATTATGTATGTATTATGTTTATATATATATAGTATGTATTGTGTGTGTATATATAGTATGTATGTATTATGTTTATATATATATATTATGTATGTATTTAAATATAAATATGTACGGTGAGTGTTACAATATAAAATAATTGTTAAACAGGTTAATGTCCGGTTTACCTGCTCGGCGGACGCACAGTTGGTTAATCATATTTCGGCTGTAACAGCCTTTAATCACGTTACAGGATCCTGATAGAGCAGAAAGTGCATTGTGTAACAGCTCCAATGGGAGTCGAATTTATTTTAGCAAAAAACTGGGTTTTTCATGGAGCTGTTGCGATGGCCTGAATAATCAGCAGTTAAGAGCCGTCTGGAACAGAAACTAACTAATTGTCTACCGCCATAGCCACACAACCATAAAAAACATTATTCAAACAAAACACAAATGCTGGGGATCCCCAGAACCCCCTGAGTGCTCCAAAAATGTGAGTACCCCTCCCTCAAGCAATGCACAGGGGGCACGGGATCTGAAAAAATACCCCTTCTCCAGAAAGTACACAGATTGGCAGTGAGTGATTACTCATTTTAAGTCGTCTTGTATTTGTCCATTGACTTGGAGCATTATTTAACGTAAGGTACCATCTGGTTCTCTAGAGTGTAAGCTCTTTTGAGCAAGGTCCTCATTAACCTATTGTTCCTGTAACATTTTGTTATTGTCTCATTTATTGTTAAATTCCCCCCCTTTATAAAACTGCGGAATAAGCTGCGCTATATAAATACCAATAATAATAATAATAATAATAATATAGTACTGGAAGGCTGAGTTCACTTCTTGCACATGCTGAGTCAGGGTACGATAGCCAGACCTACCCTCTTTGGTCAAAAAAATCACTTACCTGGTTCACAATTTGAAGGCCTGGTCAGGCTAGCTCCTCATGTCTTGCATGGTTGTTGGTTGGATAAGCTGTGCGTGTGACCATGGAGTCCTTAAATATGGCCGCCCCCACAGAGCAGGGCTAAGTCAGTGGGTGCTCTAAACCAAGGTATTTATTTATATGTTTGCATTATATTACATAAAAAAATTAATAAGTATTTGTTACCCTACGCCAACCTCTGAATGACGATTCCATTATTTTTAGGCGAATGGCGATGCCATTTCTATCGTCACCACCATGTAGTTTGTAAGCTCACAAGATCAGGGTCCTCAATCCTTCTCTGCCACTTTGTAGCTCTGTGTTAGCTGCATTAATAGTATTGGTAGCCTTAGTAATAAGTGATAATACTCTGTCCCCCATCATACAGTACGTCTGATCCATACTTTATGGCGAGATGTAAGTCATCCTTTTATCACTGTGTTAATAAATGTTTTAGTTTTAATCCGTGCAGTTAGTGAGGCTCGCAGAGTGCAGTCTAGCTCAATGTGTACGATTTGCTGTGTTACTGCAGTGCAGCCCAGTGAATCTAACGCCACAGAGTCTGCAGGAATCAGCCACATGCTCAAATCAGTCTGCACCTATTTACAGTAATAACTTCAAGTATGTGGATAGAGCGCAGTAACGGACACGGGAGGCTTTTTTGTGTGATCTTTGATGGTTTGGTTATTGACCAGGGATCGCTTGTATTTGGAGGTAACCGAAGGGGGCAGTGGGGAGATCTGGAATTGGGGATGAGGCAGAGAGTAGATTGGAAAATCCTCATCTATTTTAGAAACAGGACTACTTACCTGAATCGATTGTTTGGGACTAATTAAACATTATCAGTGGAATAAAACCTATTTAAAGAGATTAAACAACTCAGTAAATGTTATACATGTCTTGGTCTTTATCAGACCACTTTATCAGTGAGATCAATGACATTATCTTAACCTGTATATAATAAAACGTTTATTGGCTACGTTCGGTAGCATTAAGCGATCTGAGGACCCACGCCAATCTGCTCTTGTGTGTGAGAAGAGAGGGGGCGGCTCCTAAAAAGGCCAATATATCTGCTCACGTTTAGAGGGGCTGCATGAATGTTTCACTGCTAATTAATGTTTCACCACAGTAACTGGAAAAATAAAATATTTCATGAATGATTCCCACTAATATGTTTTATTACAACAATCATCCTGCTATTTTTATTTGACATAATGTGCTAAAATATTAATGTTAAAACGATTGAACTCGATATTATGATGTAAACTTCTGACTATATATATATAGAATAAACACTGCCGAAAATGTGACATAGTAACTGATAGGGCTGCCTTTCTGATGTGCATCTATACAATATATTATATTAGACTTAATTTGCCCATCATGCCCCAATCTATAACCACATGGTAATATGCACCCATCATGAACACTGACATCCCTTCATAGACTAAACACTGAACCCACAAACTGAACAGTGAACCCCAACCCAGACTCTCTCTCTCTAGACTGAACACTGAACCCTGCAGCTCTCCATAGACTGAACATTGAACCCTGCAGCTCTCCATAGACTGAGCACTGAACCCTGCAGCTCTCCATAGACTGAACACTGAACCCTGCAGCTCTCCATAGACTGAACACTGAACCCAGCAGCTCTCTATAGGCTGAACCCTGAAACCTGCAGCTCTCCATAGACTGAACATTGAACCCTGCAGCTCTCCATAGACTGAACACTGAACCCTGCAGCTCTCTATAGACTGAACACTGAACCCTGCAGCTCTCCATAGACTGAACACTGAACCCTGCAGCTCTCCATAGACTGAACACTGAACCCTGCAGCTCTCCATAGACTGAATACTGAACCCTGCAGCTCTCCATAGACTGAACACTGAACCCTGCAGCTCTCCATAGACTGAATACTGAACCCTGCAGCTCTCAATAGACTGAACCCTGAACCCTGCAGCTCTCCATAGACTGAATACTGAATCCTGCAGCTCTCAATAGACTGAACCCTGCAGCCCTCCATATACTGAACCCTGAACCCCGCAGCTCTCCATAGACTGAATACTGAACCCTGCAGCTCTCCATAGACTGAACATTGAACCATGCAGCTCTCCATAGACTGAACACTGAACCCAACAGCTCTCTATAGGCTGAACCCTGAACCCTGCAGCTCTCCATAGACTGAATACTGAACCCTGCAGCTCTCAATAGACTGAACCCTGCAGCTCTCCATAGACTGAACATTGAACCCTGCAGCTCTCCATAGACTGAATACTGAACCCTGCAGCTCTCAATAGACTGAACCCTGCAGCTCTCCATAGACTGAACCCTGAACCCTGCAGCTCTCCATAGACTGAATACTGAACCCCTGCAGCTCTGCCATAGACTGAGCACTTTAAACCCTTCGCAGCTCTTACATAAACTGAATACTGAACCCTGCAGCTTCCCATAGACTGAACCCTGAACCCTGCAGCTCTCCATAGACTGAACCCTGAACCCTGCAGCTCTCCATAGACTGAATAATGAACCCTGCATCTCTCCATAGACTGACCACTGAACCCTGCAGCTCTCCATAGACTGAACCCTGAACCCTGCAGCTCTCCATAGACTGAACCCCGAACCCTGCAGCTCTCCATAGACTGAACCCTGCATCTCTCCATAGACTGAATACTGAACCCTGCAGCTCTCCATAGACTGAATACTGAACCCTGCAGCCCTCCATAGACTGAGCACTGAACCCTGCAGCTCTCCATAGACTGAATACTGAACCCTGCAGCTCTCCATAGACTGAATACTGAACCCTGCAGCTCTCTATAGACTGAGCACTGAACCCTGCAGCTCTCCATAGACTGAATACTGAACCCTGCAGCTCTCTATAGACTGAGCACTGAACCCTGCAGCTCTCCATAGACTGAGCACTGAACCCTGCCGCTCTCCATAGACTGAATACTGAACCCTGCAGCTCTCTATAGACTGAGCACTGAACCCTGCCGCTCTCCATAGACTGAGCACTGAACCCTGCAGCTCTCCATAGACTGAATACTGAACCCTGCAGCTCTCTATAGACTGAGCACTGAACCCTGCAGCTCTCCATAGACTGAGCACTGAACCCTGCAGCTCTCCACAGACTGAACACTGAACCCTGCAGCTCTCCATAGACTGAATACTGAACCCTGCAGCTCTCCATAGACTGAGCACTGAATCCTGCAGCTCTCCATAGACTGAATACTGAGCCCTGCAGCTCTCCATAGACTGAATACTGAACCCCTGCAGCTCATAGACTGAATACTGAACCCCTGCAGCTCTCATAGACTGAGCACTGAACCCCCGTGCTCCATAGACTGAATACTGAACCCCTGCAGCTCTCTATATAGACTGAGCACTGAACCCCTGCAGCTCATAGACTGAAAGCACTGAACCCTGCAGCTCTCCTTGGCATAGACTGAATACGAACCCTGCAGCTCTTGGCAGACTGAGCACTGAACCCCTTGTGCTTCATAGACTGAGCACTGAACCCTGCAGCTCTCCATAGACTAAGCACTGAACCCTGCAGCCCTCCATAGACTGAATACTGAACCCTGCAGCTCTCCATAGACTGAATACTGAACCCTGCAGCTCTCCATAGACTGAATACTGAACCCTCCAGCTCTCTATAGACTGAACACTGAACCCTGCAGCTCTCCATAGACTGAATACTGAACCCTGCAGCTCTCCATAGACTGAATACTGAACCCTGTAGCTCTCTATAGGCTGAACCTAGCAGCTCTCCATAGACTGAATACTGAACCCTGCAGCTCTCCGTAGACTGAACCCTGCTGCTCTCTATAGACTCAGCACTGAACCCTGCAGCTCTCCATAGACTGAGCACTGAACCCAGCAGCTCTCCATAGACTGAGCACTGAACCCTGGAGCTCTCCATAGACTGAATACTGAACCCTGCAGCTCTCCATAGACTGAACACTGAGTCCTGCAGCTCTGCATAGACTGAATACTGAACCCTGCAGCTCTCCATAGACTGAATACTGAGCCCTGCAGCTCTCCACAGACGGAGCACTGAACCCTGCAGCTCTCCACAGACTGAATACTGAGCCCTGCAGCTCTCCATAGACTAAGCACTGAACCCAGCAGCTCTCCATAGACTGAACACTGAACCCTGTAGCTCTCCATAGACTGAACACTGAACCCTGCAGCTCTCCATAGACTGAATACTGAACCCTGCAGCTCCATAGACTGAACACTGAGTCCTGCAGCTCTCCATAGACTGAACGCACAGACCTGCGGCTCTCCATAGACTGAATACTGAACCCAGCAGCTCTCCATAGAATGAAAACTGAGCCCTGCAGCTCTCCATAGACTGAACCCTGAACCCTGCAGCTCTCTATAGACTGAACACTGAACCCTGCAGCTCTCCATAGACTGAATACTGAACCCTGCAGCTCTCCATAGACTGAACACTGAACCCTGCAGCTCTCCATAGACTGAACACTGAACCCTGCAGCTCTCCATAGACTGAACACTGAACCCTGCAGCTCTCCATAGACTGAACACTGAACCCTGCAGCTCTCCATAGACTGAGCACTGAACCCTGCAGCTCTCCATAGACTGAACACTGAACCCTGCAGCTCTCCATAGACTGAGCACTGAACCCTGCAGCTCTCCATAGACTGAGCACTGAACCCTGCAGCTCTCCATAGACTGAATACTGAACCCTGCAGCTCTCCATAGACTGAATACTGAACCCTGCAGCTCTCCATAGACTGAATACTGAGCCCTGCAGCTCTCCATAGACTGAATACTGAGCCCTGCAGCTCTCCATAGACTGAATACTGAACCCTGCAGCTCTCCATAGACTGAATACTGAACCCTGCAGCTCTCTATAGACTGAGCACTGAACCCTGCAGCTCTCCATAGACTGAATACTGAACCCTGCAGCTCTCTATAGACTGAGCACTGAACCCTGCAGCTCTCCATAGACTGAGCACTGAACCCTGCCGCTCTCCATAGACTGAATACTGAACCCTGCAGCTCTCTATAGACTGAGCACTGAACCCTGCCGCTCTCCATAGACTGAGCACTGAACCCTGCAGCTCTCCATAGACTGAATACTGAACCCTGCAGCTCTCTATAGACTGAGCACTGAACCCTGCAGCTCTCCATAGACTGAGCACTGAACCCTGCAGCTCTCCACAGACTGAACACTGAACCCTGCAGCTCTCCATAGACTGAATACTGAACCCTGCAGCTCTCTATAGACTGAGCACTGAACCCTGCAGCTCTCCATAGACTGAATACTGAGCCCTGCAGCTCTCCATAGACTGAATACTGAACCCTGCAGCTCTCCATAGACTGAATACTGAACCCTGCAGCTCTCCATAGACTGAGCACTGAACCCTGCAGCTCTCCATAGACTGAACACTGAACCCTGCAGCTCTCCATAGACTGAGCACTGAACCCTGCAGCTCTCCATAGACTGAATACTGAACCCTGCAGCTCTCCATAGACTGAACCCTGCAGCTCTCCATAGACTGAACCCTGCAGCTCTCCATAGACTGAGCACTGAACCCTGCAGCTCTTCATAGACTGAGCACTGAACCCCGCAGCTCTCCATAGACTGAGCACTGAACCCTGCAGCTCTTCATAGACTGAGCACTGAACCCTGCACCTCTCCATAGACTGAACACTGAACCCCGCAGCTCTCCATAGACTGAACACTGATCCCTGCAGCTCTCCATAGACTGAACACTGAACCCTGCAGCTCCCCATAGACTAAACAATGAACCCTGCAGCTCTCCATACACTGAACCCTGCAGCTCTCCACAGACTGAATACTGAATCCTGCAGCTCTCCATAGACTAAAAAATGAACCCTGCAGCTCTCCATAGACTGAACATTGAACCCTGCAGCTCTCCATAGGCTAAACACTGAACCCTGCAGCTCTCCATAGGCTAAACACTGAACCCTGCAGCTCTCCATAGACTGAATACTGAACCCCCGCAGCTCTCCATAGACTGAATACTGAACCCCCGCAGCTCTCCATAGACTGAACACTGAACCCTGCTGCTCTCCATAGACTGAATACTGAACCCTGCAGCTCTCCATAGACTGAACACTGAACCCTGCAGCTCTCCATAGACCAAGTTGAACCCTGCAGCTGTCACTTAAGGCTGAACATTGAACCCTGCAGCTCTCCATAGACTGAACATTGAACCCTGCAGCTCTCCATGGGCCTGAACATTGAACCCTGCAGCTCTCCATGGACTGAGACAGTGCAAGACCTGCAGCTCTCCATAGACTGAACATTGAATACTGCAGCTCTCCATAGACTGAACCCCGCAGCTCTCCATAGACTGAACACTGAACCCTGCAGCTCACCATAGACTGAACACTGAACCCTGCAGCTCTCCATAGACTGAACACTGAACCCTGCAGCTCTCCATAGACTGAGCACTGAACCCTGCAGCTCTCCATAGACTGAACATGGAACCGTGCGGCTCTCCATAGACTGAGCACTGAACCCTTCAGCTCTCCATAGACTGAGCACTGAACCCTGCAGCTCTCCATAGACTGAACACTGAACCCTGCAGCTCTCCATAGACTGAACACTGAACCCTGCAGCTCTCCATAGACTGAACACTGGACCCTGCAGCTCTCCATAGACTGAACACTGAACCCTGCAGCTCTCCATAGACTGAACACTGAACCCAGCAGCTCTCCATAGACTGAACACTGAACCCTGCAGCTCTCCATAGACTGAACACTGAACCCTGCAGCTCTCCATAGACTGAACCCTGCAGCTCTCCATAGACTGAACACTGAACCCTGCAGCTCTCCATAGACTGAACCCTGCAGCTCTCCATAGACTGAACACTGAACCCTGCAGCTCTCCATAGACTGAACCCTGATCCCTGCAGCTCATCATAGACTGAAGCCTGCAGCTCTCCATAGACTGAACCCTGAACCCTGCAGCTCTCCATAGACAGAACCCTGCATCTCTCCATAGACTGAACCCTGCATCTCTCCATAGACTGAACCCTGCATCTCTCCATAGACTGAATACTGAACCCTGCAGCTCTCCATAGACTGACCACTGAACCCTGCAGCTCCCCATAGACTGAACACCAAACCCTGCAGCTCCCCATAGACTGAACCGTGAACCCTGCAGCTCTCCATAGACTGAACCCTGCAGCTCTCCATAGACTGAACCCTGCAGCTCTCCCCATGACTGAACCCCTGCAGCCTCCATATAGACTGAACACTGAACTCTGCAGCTCCATAGACTGAACTCCCAGCTCTCCATAGACTGAACACTGAACCCTGCAGCTCTCCATAGACTGAACCCTGAACCCTGCAGCTCACCATAGACTGAAGCCTGCAGCTCTCCATAGACTGAACCCTGAACCCTGCAGCTCTCCATAGACTGAACCCTGAACCCTGCAGCTCTCCATAGACTGAACCCTGCAGCTCTCCATAGACTGACCACTGAACATTGCAGCTCCCCATAGACTGAACACCGAACCCTGCAGCTCCCCATAGACTGAACCCTGAACCCTGCAGCTCTCCATAGACTGAACCCTGAACCCTGCAGCTCTCCATAGACTGAGCCCTGAACCCTGCAGCTCTCCATAGACTGAACCCTGCAGCTCTCCATAGACTGAACCCTGCAGCTCTCCTAAGACTGAATCCTGCAGCTCTCCATAGACTGAACCCTGCAGCTTTCCATAGACTAAACCATCCAGCTCTCCATAGACTGAGTACTGAACCGGGCATCTCTCTATAGACTGAAAACTGAACCATGCAACTCTCCATAGACTGAACCCTGAACCCTGCAGCTCTCCATAGACTGAACCCTGAACCCTGCAGCTCTCCATAGACAGAACCCTGCAGCTCTCCATAGACTGAACCCTGAACCCTGCAGCTCTCCATAGACTGAACCCTGCATATGTCCATAGACTGAATACTGAACCCTGCAGCTCTCCATAGACTGACCACTGAACCCTGCAGCTCCCCATAGACTGAACACCGAACCCTGCAGCTCCCCATAGACTGAACCCTGAACCCTGCAGCTCTCCATAGACTGAACCCTGAACCCTGCAGTTTCCATAGAGACTGAACCCTGCAGCTCTCCATAGACTGAACACTGAACCCTGCAGCTCTCCATAGACTGAACCCTGATCCCTGCAGCTCACAATAGACTGAATCCTGAACCCTGCAGCTCTCCATAGACTGAACCCTGAACCCTGCAGCTCTCCATAGACTGAACCCTGAACCCTACAGCTCTCCATAGACTGAATAATGAACCCTGCATCTCTCCATAGACTGACCACTGAACCCTGCAGCTCTCCATAGACTGAACCCTGCAGCTCTCCATAGACTGAATACTGAACCCTGCAGCTCTCCATAGACTGAACCATCCAGCTCTCCATAGACTGAATGCTGAACAATGCAACTCTCCATAGACTCAACCCTCCAGCTCTCCATAGACTGAGTACTGAACCGGGCATCTCTCTATAGACTGAAAATTGAACCATGCAGCTCTCCATAGACTGAACCCTGCAGCTCTCCATAGACTGAACCCTGAACCCTGCAGCTCTCCATAGACTGAACCCTGAACCCTGCAGCTCACCATAGACAGAACCCTGCAGCTCTCCATAGACTGAACCCTGAACCCTGCAGCTCTCCATAGACTGAACCCTGCATATGTCCATAGACTGAATACTGAACCCTGCAGCTCTCCATAGACTGACCACTGAACCCTGCAGCTCCCCATAGACTGAACACCGAACCCTGCAGCTCCCCATAGACTGAACCCTGAATCCTGCAGCTCTCCATAGACTGAACCCTGAACCCTGCAGCTCTCCATAGACTGAACCCTGCAGCTCTCCATAGACTGAACACTGAACCATGCAGCTCTCCATAGACTGAACCCTGATCCCTGCAGCTCACCATAGACTGAATCCTGAACCCTGCAGCTCTCCATAGACTGAACCCTGAACCCTGCAGCTCTCCATAGACTGAACCCTGAACCCTGCAGCTCTTATAGACTGAATGATGAACCCTGCATCTCCATAGACTGGACTACTGAACTCCTGCAGCTCTATAGACTGAACTCCTGAACCCTGCAGCCTCCATAGTTCGAACTCCTGAACTATGTAGTTTCCATAGACTGAACCTGCAGCTCCCCATAGACTGAACCCTGAATCCTGCAGCTCTCCATAGACTGAACCCTGAACCCTGCAGCTCTCCATAGACTGAACCCTGCAGCTCTCCATAGACTGAACACTGAACCCTGCAGCTCTCCATAGACTGAACACTGAACCCTGCAGCTCTCCATAGACTGAACACTGAACCCTGCAGCTCTCCATAGACTGAACACTGAACCCTGCAGCTCTCCATAGACTGAACCCTGAACCCTGCAGCTCTCCATAGACTGAACCCTGAACCATGCAGCTCTCCATAGACTGAACCCTGCAGCTCTCCATATACTGAACACTGAACCCTGCAGCTCTCCATAGACTGAACCCTAAACCCTGCAGCTCTCCATAGACTGAACCCTGCATCTCTCCATAGACTGAATACCGAACCCTGCAGCTCTCCATAGACTGACCACTGAACCCTGCAGCTCTCTATAGACTGAAATCACATTGAGATGAAGCATTCCAGACTGGACTTGACTCTCACCAATCACATTACACTGGGGAGCAATGAGCATCTGTGGATTAAACCGTTGCGTGTTAGATGGCCCAAAATAGAACCTTTAGTTATAACAAGAACAGAGCGAAAAAGCTCAACTTTCACCTCTCTCTGTTCCTACTAACACTGACTAGCTTGTGTTATTTCGGTAGGAGTATATATTAAATGTGGGTTAAAGGA